GCGCGCTCCTGAGCAGTGCTCTTCTCGTTATCGGTCTCTTTGCCCTCAACTTCTAAGCGTCGTCAACCCTGAGCTGAGCTGAGCAATAAGCAGCCCATAACCAGCCCATATACAGTCTGTTATATGGGCCAGTTGAGACTCCGTGGGATTTGTTTGCCAGCCTGGTCATCCTATTAAAACATTTTGAACTGACACAACTCCTCAGATGGGTATGGTTTTATAAACTTGTCCTTCATTGATGTACTGCGTCTGTGAGATATTGCGCCGTCTCGAATCACTGCAGTCTAGATCGCCATAAAGCCGACAACTCGGCGGCTTTGTGCAAAATATTTGCACAGTATTGGGTTAGCAGGATGTTCTGTAGTTGTAAAGAACGACCTATGAAAGGTACATGGTATTTCTACCTTACTGATAGCTATTCTGAAGTTTCACTCTAGAGGCCCTTTGAAATCGCTAGCTAAGTGGACGTGGCTAAGCCCCTGCACTGTTACAAATTATTCGCATAGTCTTCGGCAAATGTAGCTGGCAGGGATGGTGAACAGAACGGCAACCAAGAGACAACAAACATGACCCTGCAACTGAAAAAGTAGAGATAAATCTGTGTGTGATCTGGGCATGGAACAACCGGGAAACAAAATGCTGGCAAATCCAACCATGGAGCAGTCTGAGGATGAGGTGGTGTGCTTTATACTTTAACAGCTAGCTTATATATCAACTAATCGTACAGCATAATAATATGTTAGAAATCTTTAGAACGAACCGTGAATTAGTACCCCATTATCATTTCATTTCACTCGAATTCCGCGAGTTCCCATGAGCTTTCCTGAAATCTCACCATCCATACCTTCAGTAACTTTATGTTGGCATTACTCTGTGGTGCCGGCGAGCTGAAGAGTAATGCTGTTACTTGTTTATCTACCTATATATCTACCTACCTAGATCAGGGAGGAGGGGAAGCAGCTCCCTCTGATGTGCAGCACCCAGCGCTGCAGCTTCTCCGTCATAGACAACATCATAACCACATGACCGAACAGCATACGCTCGCCAGGCCATAAGTGGCCAGTATCTAAGTATATGTAGATGTATTCACCTACTTTAGACAGACCCATGATACATGCAAAACGCATTACTGTCACCTGTGTCGCTGTATTCATGAACAATGCTCGCCTTGAGGGGGCACACAGGCTGAGACCTCAACACAAAACCTCAGGAAGCTTGAATATCTAGGTAATTCTTTTCTCTGGTGCCAGTGGCATTTCAAGGGGCCCTCTGAACAATCAATAACTACACATAATGCAACAATTAGGGTTATTTGTCCTTGTTAAAGGTAATCGTAAGCCGCACAAGATTGCGGGGTCGTCANAATGCAACAATTAGGGTTATTTGTCCTTGTTAAAGGTAATCGTAAGCCGCACAAGATTGCGGGGTCGTCAGGAGAAGTCTTATTAGCGGATTATTCTCAACTACTCAAGCACAACAGCCTAACTACGGTCATAAGAATAAGAGGGCAAGACGCTGACGCTGATCTGATAGACACTGCAGCGGCTTCAGGTGCATCTCCCCCACCGGCAACATCATATCACATCGATGTTCACCCTTGTTGCTCCGTTGTTAACAGAATACACAAACGAGCAATTAAATATTTCGATGAGGCTAAGAAATATAGTACAGAAAGGCATATAATTAGTAAGAGATCATCTAGCGTGTGCAGATCCATGAATGTTGTAAGCCGGTCTGAAGTAATTCTCGTTTTTCTAGTTATCTGCACACCGGCTCATGCGTATGAGTGCAACTTTATCTGTGTAATGATTGGCTACCTTGTTAGTAAATACATTAAAAATGACGTTTTTTATGCTTGCATGCATAACTAAGCCCCCTTTAATGCATCCACTGTGGGGCTGCCTTCTATTAGGAGTTGAGTTACAGTAAGGTGTGTAACCGTAGCGCTGGGGGTTGGTGCGGTGGCTGGTGGCTCAATTCCAAATAAAAAGGCTCAAAAATATTTTAAAGAGAAATTTTTTNATTGCTCAGGGGAGCTTTGCGGATGCCAACGGTCAAGGCAGAACAACATTCCAGAATGTTCGCACAAGTAACGGTACTGTAACTGGGCTGACTGAGTTAGGTAGGTTGCAACAAGCTCTGCAGTGAACCTTCAACTGGCCGTTTCCTATGCCGTCCAGGGATAGCTGCACTACCCTTCTAGCCACGGTCCTCGATATTAGGCGGTGACTCATGCAAGCTGTAATATAGTCGAAATACTTACGAAAATACTAGTGTCTCAAACCTTCCTTCTAGTGTCGAGGCCTGCTGGGCACACCGCCACGAGGGCCTGGGCCTGGTTCAGAAATGAGGCGGGTTTGTCATTAGTGCTCCTTGCTGTCACCCCTGTTGCAAGGCAACCCCACATGAAATCATCCCCGATCTTCCTTCTTCTGGATGCAATAACACTGTAGAGAGTTGTTAAACATTTACGTGGCCCATTGGAACCAGCCGGCGTGCAAGTAGAAATACAAAGAGCAACTTCGAACAGACCAGGCTAGATCCCTAAGCAGCAAGAAGTGTCACACATAGTGGCGCTAACAGTTCAAAAGCCAGTTTCTCATATCAATTTTATAGTAATTAGATGAAACAGTGAAAGAGCACTGCGTTAACCTGAGTTTCGAATGTTGCTTCTACATTCCGCAGGAGATGCCAAACACTGCACGGTTGAAATTAACAAATTTCGAAAACAAGTGGATCCGCAAGCAAACAACTACATGGAAAGTGATGAGGGGAATCCAGCAGAGGACCTTCAAAGCTTCCTGTCAACGGGGTGCGAAGATCTCAAGGCGGGGTCATATACACACATTGTTGTAGGTCCAGCGGTAGATTCCATCTCCCGACAGCCCTATACAATGCGCCTAACGGTTACTCGTCGAGTACGAATAACTTCTGGTTGTACCACAAGGATCAATGAGGAAAGGTAGCGAGCTGGGTCGCTTGTTACAGGATGCTACCGACGACACTAAAACGCTTGTCATTTCAGCCACGCGGGCATCCGAACAAACGCGGACAGCAATGACCTGCGAAGAAGCCGTTGACCTGTGGAAAAAAGGATATTCAGCCTTTTCGTACGTACGCCTAAAGGACGTCGGACCTCTATTTCGCTTCGCCTCTTCATTGTTTTAGCGCAACAAGTCACAGGAGGTGAAGCCTTCTGTGTGTCGTTTCAGGGGCGAATACCCTGCAGTGTTCAACGAAGCAAAGGAGCCATACACTAGGTCGAACGCTATACCTTTTGTCAGCTTATTGAGCGATAAGGCAGAGATCATTTACTGCGGCACCCCAAAAGGTTGTGACACGGAAAGCATTATTTGCTATTTCAAGCCGTCAAGCATAGCTGAAGGAGCCCATCCTGTGAGGTGAGCGAAAAGGAGACTTTATGGCAGCTTCCCACGGCGACAGTGTATTATACTAGGACAAGAAATATAGGAGATGCCTTCTGCGAGGTGAAATACAAATTTGCACGGCGATCAAGCGCCCGATCCCGCGGGCTAAACAACAAGAAAAATTTTGTTTCTCCAGTTCAGAATTCTGTGAAGTCATCAATCGCAAAGGGGTACTTTACAGCAACTGCAGCACTTTAGCCGTGTTCCTGTTAAATTTCTGCAGTCGCCAGATGTGGCACAAGGTTGAAGAAGCTGGACGCATCAAGCCCTCGCTGGAGGCTCACGGTGGGCCAAGTTTGCATCGTTGGTACCTCAAATACACACAATACGAAGCAGCCAGAATGCTGTGGACTGTGGACCCCGCCGTTGTGTAAATGTGTCGTGTTGGCTTCGTCTGCAGGTGATGAGTATAAAGACCTTTTGGAAGCCGTCAATGCTGTGCGTACTGTCAAGGGGCTGGGCCTTCCCGGATTCACTGCTCCAGTGGAGACGGAGGATATGAAAAGGAGAGACACGATTAACGATGCCACACCTTATGAGAATGCATTGTATAACCTGACATGCGAAGAGATAAAGGATTCAACAATCCATCCAAATGTAAGCGTTTACTCGAACACCAACGACTCGCAGGGGAGTCTACCAAGTCCACTGAAGCTGGGCAAATCTGAAGCCCACACCCGCCCACCCACATACGCCGCAAGCAAAGCAGGAAAACACGGCAGCTAAGGTCCGAGCCAGCCGTGTAGCTCTCCCGAAAGTTGCACACCATCTGGATTGAGTGGGTGATGCGTGCTGCTGCAATCGATGAGCAGGTTGCTCAAGGATACACTCTCATCTACGCCATTAACGAAGGGGAAGATCCCCCAACAGCGGAAGAAGCAGTCGAATTCTGGAAGAGCGGATTCACTAAGCTTGGGTCAGCACACATCCCGCACTAGCAGAGAACAGTTTCAGAGTATCCGTAGCGCAGATTGTACAGTCAACGGACGTGTTGACTCATGAGGAGGACGTGTAAACGAAAACTCTGTGAATGCCACTTGCAATGCGTCAAGCGAAGAGCCACTTTTGTTTCAGCTTTATACACCAGCAACTTTCCGAATCCCCACAAGCTCTCATTGCTATATGCTTGATGTCGCCTGCAGCACCGACGTTCCACCGGCTTTTACTGTAAAAAAGTCCCAACGCACTGAAGGAATTGACGGCACAATCTACTACGACAACGCAGTTGCAGGTTTCGCTTCTATGATGGTTGATGGCACCCGCGAGATGAGGTGCTATAACGCTACGGGCTGTGACAATGCAGCTGTTATCTGCTTCCTTTCAGAGCCGACCTTGGTGGAAAATCGCCAACCCATCAGGTGAGCGTTGAAACTTGCCGAATAAACTCTACGGCAAAACAACTCCCACCCTTGTGTGTATACCTTTGATGCTGTCAACATAAACTTGAGACCGCCCAGTAATCCGACGTATCTGGATCCACTGTTCTGTTTTTTGGTGTACCGATATGCTTGTAGATACATACTGTCCGAGCACTTGTGCTATCTACCCACATTCTGATCCCGTAAATTGTTGATAAGTGAGCTGAGTCTGTCTAAGAGTAGAGAGCATTGGCCTCACGCCCAATCATGCAGGCACCCATGCGGTAGAGCGATGTGACGTTTTGTATGTATACAGCGAAGACACATGGAATAAGATTTTGGCGCTCCAGAACGGAGAAGGTGACGAGAGTGATGACAAGGAGGCTGAACTCGCAAAACGCGGTATGGAGCCGC